TCCTTTCTCGAATAGAAGATTCTATTATAAATAAATAGTTAAATTCGAAACAATTTTTTTAATAAGCAATAAATTAGAAAAAATATTAACTAGATTTATCTAATCAAATATCATGTTTGTGATTTATTAATCAAATTAGAAGAGATTTAATAACAGCTGTTCATCATATTTTTACTAACGATTATTTTCATACGACTCATTTCATATGAATCAACGTGCAATGAATTACAGATTCTCTTAAGATATTGATTATTTCTCAAATTCTTGAAATCATAAAATGTGCTTTCAATGCCTATATTTTTTTCTTCGCGTTATGCAATCGAAAATTAAATGGAGACTCGTGCGGATTATTACGAGACGGATTTCTCGATGGATTCTTTAACAGATGAGCTATGAACGTCGCAAGATGCAGAAGCACGTCCGCAATTTACCAATTATGACAGAGGAAAAGGTGATATTAGAGATGACTTTGAGCTTGGAATGTCGATTCCCATTTGTCTCATTCCTCGGAATCCTGTGTCTGTGCGGTTGTACATGAATAATTATGTAATCCGCCCGGAAACACTTAATTGACGCCTAATTATTGATATTACTATTATCGCATGATATCTAACATGATAGAAATTTCACGGAGAATTCTAAACGGACTAAAGTCGGATTTTTCGGATATTCTGTCCGCGTTTAATCTTGAGTAATAATTTTTTTGAACTTACAAAATTTAAAATATATTTTTCATCGATGAAAATACGTTATAAATATATTTTCTTAAACATTTTTATGAAATTTTTATTCACGCGTTTTATAAATAATCAAGGAAACTGATTTCCTTGACTGCTCGCACAATACGTGTACTTTATCACAATTATCTCAAGAAATGCAAGAAGAAAGACTGGTCCGATAATGTTTATTCTCGCGATATTGATGACGTTAATCGCTTTTGTACAAGTAGCAATAAATACTCGGAATGCTGAAAAGAAAATAATGTAAATGATGACGCACTAACTCATCGTCTAATAATGTGTCATTAACGTGTTGTGGAGAAACTATAATTTTGCATGAAATCGACAGCTTTATAGCGTGAATATTCTGGCTGTTAATTCAAACAGACAAGAGACGACAAATATAATTATTCATGTTAGATTACTTCGAGTCTCTTTTCTATGCTTGCGTTTTCCGCAAAATTGTCTTGTCAATTTGAGGAGGAAATAAATTAAATGACTATACTGACAAGTAGACTAAATTACAAATTTGTTTTGTAACCGTTTCCCAACTGCAATAATATTTTTATTATTTATGTCTACTCGAATAATCGAACAACAGAAGATAACAGCGAAAAAAATTTTTATATGTGTTTTAAGTAATGTTTCCTGCAGTCTAAATGTCGGAGATTACATTAAGATTTAAATTATAAATTTAAAAGCTGTCAAAATTCTATTTATCGCATTACACAAGAAAGATAACGTGCAAATACAAGTGTCTGCCGAATCATCTTATCTCAAATTATAATAACAAAATAAATTATAAAGTATATTATATATTTATGTTTTTGAAAAGTAAATTAAATTAACTTCTATAATATTTATGCAATAATGTATTCATTAAGAATGCAAATTTTATTATTAAAATAATATAATCTTGATTCAAAGAAAGATTGTATTAAATTCCCCATTATTTTCAAAGTCATTTTCTCTACTTGTTTCTTCCAAACAGTAATTATTTTAATAATATATTTATAACCAAATATTTATAACCATAATATATTTATACAAAATTTATGAAATTAAATTTATCAGTTAACAGGCAAAGTTATTTAAGAAAACAGCTGTATTTCATTCAAAAAGAAATTAATTTATGGCAATTTGACCAGTATTGCATCGTCATGTTTACGGGAATCTGTTAAACGGCGGATCGTGGATTAAAATGGTACACGATGGTACCACCGCGATGGGTTCGACCCGAATAATTACCAATGGCGAACAGCGACGATCGATACTACCTGGCTACCTTATCACGGTTATTGTACACGATGCTCCAGCGATGTAATGAAGCCTTTCGTTTCGTGAAACAAACGATCCGACTCACGGCCTCGAAATAGTTGCGTACTAACGTGATATATATCTTGTGATTACGTGCCCCTTGTTTAAAACATGATGGACGATTACGTGGAATTAGAAATATGTACTCACGTATCCGGGTTATATATCTATTAGGAAATTAACGAGAATGCTTGTTCTTTCCATCGCGACGATTAATTCTCAAGTTTCAGAATCGTACAGAATGTTTCAATTATTAATATTCGCAAGTTTCATGATATATATATTCAAATCTAGAAACGTGTGCTAAAACTAAATCTATTCTCTTAAATACATTTCAAATTTTTAATGCAGAATATTTTTATTTTATTTTCTTTTGACTTGTAAAAAAATTTAGATTCTTACTTCCAATATAATATGCATGTGAAATATAAATTGATAGCAAACATAGTATTTATTCTGCCTAAGTATTAGTGCTATTAAAAAATGAAAAGTAGAATTTTTTATAAAAAAAAAGTATTTTTTTATTTACAATAAAGGTTATTTTTTGAATGAATTTCGATAAGTGATCAGCCGATAGTTCGTTTCTCTCGAAACGTATTTTCTACCTGCGCTTATGACAGAAATTTGGGCGCCGGTGTGACTCACGGTGTACGATGACTAATTCCATTGAGTAATTCGAACGGATCCGATCTGAGGAAATCGAAGGAATTCTCTCTCATCAAATGGTGCAGAGGAATGTACCGGAGAAGGACGAAGAGGAGAAAGAGGAAGGGAGAACAACTCGTGAACTCTCTCAGGCTCACTACCTAATGACCGAGTGTTATTAAGCCGATTATAGAGCATCGATCGCGTCCCCTCGGGATACTTTGACGGCGCGCGATATACTTATGTCAGATCTGGACCGACAATGTGAAAGCTGACGTACTTGCGCGATCATAATCACGGTATTCGCACACTTGGTGACCTTGATGGTATCCGTAGCATCTTGCAAGCCTTGAACTTGCACGTCGAAGATTCTCGTACGAACTTGGCAACGATCCAAATCGGTTTACTTAAGTCTGCATCGACGACGAAGATTTGAGAGACTCGTATATCTCATTCTTCTTCTCTTTCTTCCTCTTTCAAAATTTTTACAAGGCCTCTAGCATATTTTACATTTGGAGCTAAATATGACTGTCATAATCCAGAGAGTCAGGGAGCTATCGCGATTGATCAAACATTCTGCGCGTTCATCGATCTTGCCAATTGTCTCATCGCAAAAAATCCATTAATAATGTGATATTATTTTATATTTAACATTGAATAATGTTAGATTTTCGACATTTGCGACATTTTTATTATATATATAAAATTTTTATATATATTTAATATATATAATAATTTATTAATATATATTTAATAAATTTTTATATACATAAATTTTTATTATATATATAAAATTCTTCTAATTTATGATGTTTCTACTTCCGGTATCATCGCTTTTATTCATGCGAACAGTCATCGCGTGAATCATTTAAAAATATTTCTTCCATGCACACACATACAATTTTTTGATCGTTATTAGTCGATAAAGGTCAAATAAACGCATCGCTCATTATCTTTCGAGACGCGTTATTATTTAATCATCACTCACGGCAAGTCGTAATAAAAGTTCCGTTATTGCATTAATGTTCTGTGATGGCAAATACGCCTTATTGTCTATCGTACCCCGCGGGGATGAACATCACCGTCACAGAAAGCAATATGATTTCGCAATATGCTATCCGTTTTGATGGAGAGAGATACATACTCGTCTGACGCATCCTGTTATGCGCGATATTTTTTTTCACAGCCTTTGATCGAAGGCAAGATCCGATCTATGTACGCGTTTCTCGTTTCCGGGTGCGTGCTTCAGACTATTAGAAGAAGCTAAATATCGCTTCCTCGCTTGGAGCTTATGGAAAAATCATCTCATGAATCTGAATAGCTTGATTAATCTCAAAAATTTATCAACACATTTTAAATTGAAATATATCAGTTTATAAATATTTTCAAAAAAAGTTATAAGTATCGCTTTAATATAAAAATCTTTCAACAATCTCTAAGAATGAAAATAAAAAAAATCAAACTAAATATTTTCTGAAGCAACTCATCTTTTTTATTAAAATAAAATTACTATCAATTATTTTAGGAATACATAAAAATTTTTCTCTTATATTATTCTTGAATTTAGGAAAATATAAATTTATATAAATTTATATTTATATAAATAATAAAATATAAAAAAGAAGCATGAAGAACTATTAAATTTATATTTTATAGGAAAATATAAATTTATATAAATTTATATTTTCCTATAAAATATAAATTTAATAGTTCTTCATGCTTCTTTTTTTATATTCTATTATTTCCATTTATTTTCTCTCTCTTTCTTCTCTCCTCGAATATTTTATTTTATATTTTTAAACATGTAATAAAGAGTGTACCCATCCATTTATTTCTGTGCTTATATCGCTAGACAATACGCTTTCTTATCTTTATTGGCTGCCCGACACGTTTTTGAAAAAAACCCTGCTGCATGAAGCATCTTTTTATCTTCAATAATGCGTTAAGGTTATCTATTAAAGCTATCCCGAAGACCCACTGGCGTCCCATAAAAATCATTTAACGGAGTAAAAAGACGGAGAAGCGCGACGCGGGCGCCGACAGCGATTCCGCTTAGGAATTCCTCACCGGGCGGATACACCTTATCGCGGCTCGTCTTTCGCGAGGAGCTATCCCCTTCGGCGCAGGTTATCCGTCGTGGGGGCCGCTCAGGTGGGAGGTGGAGTCACGGGTGACGAGTCTCGGTAGGGTCCCCGTCGGCAGGCAGGTAGACAGGTAGGGGCCCCCCTCGGGCTCCCACGGCATGCACGTACCCCCGTAACATTGGACCCCCACTTGTGACCGGCGATGACCATCATCGAGGAGACCGTGGCGTCCCGCCGCCTACAGTTGCAGTCGGCGCACCATTCCACGAGCACGCGACATTCCGCGCGCGGCGGATACCCCGCGAGAATACCCGATCCTCTCGACACACGACCGAGAAAAAAAAATCGTAGAGATATATCCGAACTTTGGGTGGAAATCGGGTGAGACGCGATCCTCTACCTGTGTAATTGTAATGTAAATGCACTTTCGGTGATAGATATTGCGTGAATACTTGTATTCGACAGTGAGAAATTGGATTGCTTCTGGCGGGATCGGCGGAAACAACGCGTTCCTTTCCGTCTCTAAGATTTAACGAAGAATCTTGGAGTCGTGCCTGATGTACTTGCGCATACTTTACGTATAGATATACTTGTACCTATTAATGAATAATTTGAATACTTGAAGATCAGCGAGAGCAAAGAATAATCAGCATTTGCATTGCCTGAAATTCGCGTTTTGTTATTTAAATTGCGAAAAATTCAGTGCTACGATTTTCGATATTAATATTCACTACTTAATAAAGAGAATATTATATTTAATCGATCGAGAGAGATAAAAGATATCTTCCAGAATAAAAAAAATACAGTGAGTAATGATGAAAGTATTAGAAATACAATGTTATACTCGGATTGTTGGTTTTAATAGAATAAAGATGTGTTGGTGATTCATTAAATAATGAACCAAATAATTTTGAAGATAAAGTAAAGAAATAATGTTGAAAAAACTTAGGAATGCGAAGAAATTTTATAGGATTTTTATAGCCAGTGTTAGACAACAAGAATATTTCCAGAGAAAAGTAGAATCATAAATTGTCAAGATCATTAGTTAGTTTACGAGCATAAAACGAGTATGAAAAGAATATATCTTAAGAGATATTTAGGAAAAAAGTATATTTTTTGTAATAATTTTATAACTAATGTTTCGGAATAAATAAGTCTTTATAAAAGTCTTCTAAGAAATCTTAATAGAATTTAAAAGGATGCCCTAATAATTAATTAAATAATTAATTTAATAATTAATTATTTTGATAATTAATTAATTATTTATTTTGATATTTGAATGTACCTTATCGCATAAACAATATCCTCACTAGAAGTAAAAAATCTTCTATAGATGATGTTTCGATGGATTAAGAGATATATTGATTACATTAATGAATTAATGACGCTAAGCGTCAAAAAAGTGATAATGTCGTAAATGTCATTGCTAACACGCGTGAATCGCAAAATTACATGCATACGGTACGTAGAAGATATTGTCGTTAAGTGGAATGAGAGAAAAGCGCACAGACGGAAGATGTTTAATGTACGGTATTCGCGCGTGCGATAATGGTGACAGCCAGTGACAGTATTACGTTAATAGAGATGCGTGAGCGATCGAGATGTATGTGCGTGACACAAACGATTGTCAGTGAATGCAGTAGGATGAATCAGAAAGTGCGTGTATCCCGTCGGAACTCCATCGCCTTCATAAAGAAAGAAATACGCTAATATTTTTTAAATACACATATGCTTTTTTAATTTTCTTTTTAATTTTCTTATATAAAGATGGGATCAAAAAATATATAAAATAACGGAAATATGCTAATTTATTTCTTTCTCTTATTAAATGGGAATATTCTTTTTATCTTTTAATTATTGATTTTAAAATATACGTTGACAAAGAAATAATCAATAGGTATTTGTAGATAATGTTTATTTTTTACAATGTATTGTTTAATATTTATAACATGAAATATTTTACTTATATGTTTCTGTCAATGTAATCTATATAAAGTTTAAATAACTTATGAATATTATTAATTAAATTATTTTAGATTTTTTTAACATCTTTAATAATTTATTATTTATATATATTTAAATTACAATCGATATGTTAATGCAAATTGAGAATCGTTAATCATCGAATTGATATATCATTGATATATCAAAAACAATATATCGATCAGTTCTTAATAATTTCACAGTACTTATGCAAATTAATACATTCCTCTCTCGTTCGTGAAATATTTATAATTTGATGAATCAACCTAGTTAATTGGCGTTTCACATTTAGCCATGGAAAGTTCAAGGAAATGTACTTAAGTGTACTGGATTTCCTGAAAGCTGGTATTATATTTAGACGATTACTTACTTACATTCTCTTTGCACTCCATTATATGCTGATTAGAAACCGCAACCCGACAATTAACCACATTACTTTACATGCGAGTAAAATTGCCCATGTTAGAAACGGAATTACTCACGATCCTCGCAAGAATTCTATGCGAGACTTATTGAATGCGTGGATATTGAGCTCATTTTCTGTCAGCAAAAAATGCAATAAATTAAAAAATCTTGATTAATAAAATGCTATTGACATAGATAACGAAATTACAAGCAATGTCAAATTATTATATAATAACAAACCAATTGAGAAAATTATATATCTCAAAGAAATAATTAAGTCCAATTTTTTTTATACTAGTTTTATAAATTTTAGAGTTTTCTGCATAATAAAATTCAGTAAATTGAAATATAATCCAATTTTTTACTTTAAAAAAAGTTTGCACACTAAAGATTATCATATCAAATCATATCATGAATATTATTGATTCTTCTGTTATATAAAATATAAATATTATTCTGTTAGATAAAATATTAAAATAATGTGTTATGGCAAAACAAAAAGTAATAATATTCTTATCATAACGCATTATATGGAAGGTTAAAAAATTTTCCTCTACTGTTTTTTCGCGATAAAATAAAATCTCAAGAAGCAATAAAGTAAAGAAAAAGATAATTAATCTTGCTTCGCAAAAGAGTAGGGCACTCATTGTACAGCATTACCCCTCTTTTCATCGATCCTTCCGTAATCACCTCCTTTGCTCGAGACCTATTTCGATAGAACAGTTTTCAAACTTTATCGCGGAATAATTCATTCATATAGAAGTTCATATGCATAGATATCGTATAAAGATTGAGCAAAACCAACACACCTTAACACGAGCATTTTATGCATTGGTGAAATGTGTATAATGTTATTTCAAAAAGTGTATAATGTTATTTCAAAACTTTAAAAATTAGTATAGCATATTAGTTCAGCAATGAATATTTAAAAAATCATAAGAGATGGCTCATTTAAACTTTTTTTAAAGATAAAATTAACTTTATATTTGTTGTAGTAAATTAAAATTGGAAAAAATTAAAATTCGATATTTTAGTCTTTTTGATAATGTTAATATAAAATAATATGTTAATATAAAATAATGCTAATATAAAATGTATAGGAACATACCAATATAAATTAATAATTGTCAATAATTTAGTAAATCTAAATCCTTATAAGTTCGACAAGATAAAATCATATAAATGAGAGAAAGGCTATTAAAATAAAGAAACGCAGTAAATAGAGCGCAGATGATAAAAGCCTAATTTTCAATAAAAGATATAATTATAAACGTTTCGGTCTAATTCGGACCCTCTTCAATGTAAACGGATATAAAGTATATTGACACATTGAATAAATTTAAATAATAACATATCACCACTAAAATTAAATATAATAAAAGAAAGATAAATAAAAATAGATTGCTGTATCAGTCGAAAAAATAAAATTGTAAAATATAAATAAATTCGATCGAAGACGTAGCAAGAACAAACTTTAAAATCAACAAAATGATTTCGTTTTTTGATCCTAGCTTTTCTCTCATTTAAATGTTTATAAACACACAGAGAAAAATATCATTCTACTATCAAGAAAAGCGATTACTCAATTAATTTTTTTTTTAATTAATAGTTTTCTTCAATAAAGAATATATTCTTGATATAGTTATTAAATTATACTCATCACAAGTATTAGAAAATCTCATTATCATGTAAAAGAAAAAATTATTTTCTCTTCAAGAATATTGTAAAGTTGTATCAAAGAAAAATCAAACTTACTTTACGCCAACTCATGTAGTAAGCAAACCAATTTAATTTAATATTCTTGATTAAAATACTGCACTTATTAAAATTTAGAATATATTCAATTAAATTTAATGCCTGTGGTGAATTTGTGATATATTTGCGGATATACAAACTTATGATATACTTAAAATAAATAATATTTACTCGAATACAGTATACATTTTTCTCTGTGTACTAAATCTGGATATTTTAACCTTCTTAATAACATCGTGTTATAACGTGTTTATAAAGACTAACATACAATAATATTCTTCATTATCCATTTAGCAAATCAATTGATAAGACGCCCTTCGCGATTTCATCCCGCAAGATCAAGAATTTTCCTTTGAAGAACGAGAATATTACATCGATCGATAGGTCAACGAAATCGCGGGCATTCAACACCTAAGATAGTCAGGTAACGACCAGAAATCGAAGTCAGTGCGGAGAACACACGTATCTTTAACGAGGCACGAAGAGGGGGACGCCCTTACATGCGTCATCGCGCTATCGCGGGTGCAAATCGCACGTGAGCATTGCACGTGAACGGCAGTACAACACGTGCACCACAACGTTTGGCATCGAACGCTGTGACAGCCAACGCCTCCGTCCCATTGTCGCGCACGTGCAACAATAAATGCGTCGTCGTTGCCGCGGATGACGTCCCGTACGTTTTTCAAGATGATCACCCACTGGATTGTCCTGCTGGCTCTCGGCGCCGTCTGTCACGGTGAGTACAATTGTTTATTAATCGATTTAATTAATCATTAGAATTCTTTAAATTATATTTGATTTGATATAAGTTTATAAAAATGTGATAGAATTTATTAAAGAATTGCGTGAAAATAATTATTAATAATAAAATGATATCTAAAATTGCAAAGATATTGGGAACTATAAAAAGTACGTTTTTTATTAAGAAAAAAATTGATTGCTGCTAAATAACAAACTCTCTTAATTTCCACTTTATACCAATATTCAACAATTTAAAACAAACATTACAATTTTTTACAATTTATTATAAATATTATTATATTTTTTGAGAGAATTATAAGATAAAAAATTCTTTAATTAATTATTATTAAAGGAATATAAGTTAAATTTCTACATATGATATAGTTCTCTCTTTTCTAAAATTTCAAACGTAATCTTGACAACACTTGTTATCATCCGTAAATTACGACCGGTTATTTGCATCTTAATTGGCGTTCTCGATATAGTTTATGATACCTGATCGAAACGCAACGTCTTAAAATAGAGGGCTAGATAGGGTGATCGAGCGCGCAAACGCGATGCTTATAAACGCGGCTATAAATCGACAATGCGACTCGTTGTCACATGAACCGCTTGGATATGCATCGTATGTAATGACAGAAATTTGATACGTCGTCAATTGATCGTCTCGATGAAAATTACTTACGTAATTGAGCGATTACAGGGACTCGCGATGGAGATTAATGCGTTATGTAACTCAGGATGCGTCGTTCTTCATTCAAGTGCGGAGTTCTTGAAAAAAACTTTTTTTCCACTCGATGACATGTGCAATAAAGTATTCATTAAATCGGAGTCACACATAATCTTTAATATTAATAAATTTATTTGAATTTAAAATAAATGTTAATTTCTCGCTTTTTTGAATACTTTTATGTATATAAGATTTCGAAAAATTATTTACGTTTATAGCTTGAATTTTCGAAAAATTGTAAACTTAGTATTAATGAGGATTCCATCCGTTTATTAGGCCATCCGAATTTTAATTTTATACATTCTTAACACATAAACTTTAAATGAAATTACTGTTAAAGGAGAGAAAGTTTATTTACAATTATATTTGAAAAATTAAAAGATATTTATTTCTGAAAAATTTGAATTAATAATGACTTTTAATAATTTACATATGATTGTATATATCATATTTAATAATATCTTAACATTTATTTCTTTAATTTAACATTTTATCTGTGATAAAAGATAAACTAATTTCCAAAATAACTTTCAAAAAACTCGATATATTGATTATTTCTGTAATTTAAATAAAAAGAAAAAGATTGTATAGTAGTATGTAACATTTTTCTCTAGTTTCTTAACAATATAACCTTCTTGTAGAATTATATAATTTCACAATGTCCGCATAGGATCACCTTGAATAATATAATACTTTTATACTGCTCACTTCTAATCGGTTACTATTTAAACTGTTACGAGACATTAATAAACATTGTAAGCAACGTGTGATAATATCAGTAATGTTTCATATATTCTTTTATGCATTTGTTTTTTACATATGTTTAAAGCGATTATAATGTGTGTTGTTGTATAATAATTACAATTCCTTTTTATAATTTATTCCTTGTGTATATCCCCACACATACACATATTATTTATTCAAAATTGTTCGTACATATTCTCGAGATGTTGATAGTCTCACAGTATTATATTATTAATCATTATACTATATTATTAATTATTATACTATATTATTAATCATTATTCTAATGAAATTATATATCTTTACAAATCATTTTGTGATATGTAATAATTTTATTTTTAAAATTATATTCAAAAATTATATTCAAAAAAGAAATCTTTAAATATTAGAATTTACACCTTAAAATCAAAATAGAACATACAAAATATCATTTTGCAATATTTCAATATTCGGGAGGTATCATCGAAATTAAACGAAACAAGAAAGAAGAAAGCAAAATTGATTAATATTGCAAATTTTATTTTATACTCTATCCCTTCAATTTACTTTTTCACAGATTAAATATTCTAAAATGTTGCTATATTGAAAACTTTGCATTAGTAGAGAAAGTATTTCGATCTGACATTGTTTTCCTAGCGTTAAAGTCTACTTCTATGGTAGTCCATGCCTTGGCAGTGAAACCGGCCCGAGGCGATTCTCTTGCACGCGCGATCTGTGTTTCGGGATCTCTTTTTTCCTTCTACGTGTGTTCGCCGTGTACCATGATTGTATTTCATTAACAAGTTCAGCACGCAATTCGGGAGAAGCACGTGCGATGCACGGCGGCGGTATGTCAGTAGCCGCGCAGCTGCATTAATTTAAAGAGCAATTTAAAAGGAATGCGTTGCGCTGAATAAAAAAATTACATCTTGATTCTGATGAAAAGAGATTATACAAAATGTATGTATTATCTCTTGGAATAATTTAAATCCATTATTTGTACTATTATTTACTGCAATATTATAATCTTATATCATTCTTTGTAGTTTATTGCAATATAAATATATGTACAAATATTTATTAAATAAGATATCTTCGGGAATAAATTTTTTTAAATAAAATGTAAAAAACGTATTTGAATAAAGAGAAAAAAACCTAGCAAAGTACAAAAAAAAGCAAACTTCAAAATTAGTTAAATTCGCTGTGACTGATTGTTCTCACGCGATGTGTTTGTAAATTATTCCGTCTGAATGGGTCTTAACTCGATGCCAACGGATTCACTTTCATCCCGCGCGTCGCCGGAATAATAAATCAGTGGCAACGTACGATTTTCGCCCGACAACGATGACGAAGCGAAATTATGCCGAGATCTCTCACGCGGACGGAATCAGAGCGAAACGCAGCGCATCGCGTGCACCGTTTTCAACGGCTATCCCTCGCGCGCAATTTCTTCGTCGGCGATAGTTTATTTGCATAAGCCAGCTGTAAGATGATAAATGCCCAGCTTATAAGATGTTAGAACACATGGATACAGAAATTGAATAATTAATGATATAAGATAATATACATCTCTGAAAATTCATTTATCGCAATACAGTTATTTTACTTTATCCATAATAAAATTTTTCAAATAATGGAGAATCAAAATTCCGATTGGAAATATAGTTTAATTAATTATAAGATTAATTATAAGAAAAAAATTCATACTGAAAATATCTTGATAAAAAATTTTAGGCATACAGACATAATAATAACGTTAAATAATAATTTGTCTTGATATATAAATATAAAATATAAATATAAAATATAAATATAATAATAATAAATATAAATTTAGTAATAATAAATATAATAAATATTAATATAAATATAATAATCAAAGATTATATATTTATATTTTATATGCAGACATGTATGTATATATGTGTTTCACGCGGTCAAGGAGATATCTTGGGCGATCTTCATAGGTCGGCCGGTGCATCACGCCATACATGCTGTAAAATGCATCCCGCCACCGGGGGGCGGTGAGGAATTCCTACGAATTCCTCTCTTCTTTGCCCTCAGGCGGCACACACCCCTCTTCCCAGCCCATACCAACACGCGTGTTTGCATTCCAGCGCGATGTTTCACTAAATGCACGCATTGCACCGGGTTTAATCACCCTCCCGGAGGGAGAACCAGTTCTTTCGGGGCCGCATCGCGAGACAACGTTTTTTTTGTAAGGAGGTCTGAAAAAAAAGGAAACGACAAGAGACCTGGAGCAGCGCCGAAACTCCGAGAAGAATGAGCCACAATTATCATTCCACGCTCGGATCATCGCAATCTGCCACTGTTCCTCCCCGTCTCTTTCAGAGATCCTTTGCATAATAAAAATTGCACGACAGTCATTAAGACGCGTGCAATCTCGGAGAGATGCCATATCGAAAAATACACTTACATCATAATAGCTGCATTTTTATTGTCATAATTAAACATGGATTATTCTCCGCTTATGCAATTAAACTATGCCTGCAACAAGGAAATTCGAATGTGTCAAATTTTTATACAATTTTATACGTGTACAAAAAATGAATTAATTTGAAATATGAATGAAGAGGGCAAAAAGAACCGCTGGCAGAATTTGAAGGTGAAAAAATAGCGGAAATTGCAAAGTGGATATCTTGTCATGCAGAATAGCAACTACCAGAGTGCATGATGCAATAGCGATTTGTACATGCGCGATGTTTTTGCGGAAAAGATTAGACGTTAGGCGGGTATAATGAGGTAAATCATGGTTTACGCGGCTCGCAATCTGCCCTCGACTATCCAGCGGCCAGATATGAGGAGACTTGAGCAATGCGTAACCTGGATGCTCATCGGGAACACGTGTAGTAAGTACTTATTGTTAGTCGCGCGAACGTCACGCGTCAATAGATCGAACTTCACTGAACCGCGTCTTACTATCAATCGTTGGAGACAATTGTGCAATTTATATGAAATACAGTGACACATAAATTATCTGCCGTTTTTGCACCGTGATTTTATTATGCTCAAAATATTGAATCATTTTATGATTTCAATTTTATAATAAATAAACAGTATCTTAATTTTTTAAATATAATATATATTTTTTATATATAATTAATATATTTTAAGATGTCATAATAATTCGATACATATGATCCTACCCATTGATTGCAATCATATTAGTGAGAGACTTTTCACTCCATAAAAATGAAGTAAAAACTTTCTTTTCGAGATGTTAGGTAATCATAAAAAAGTGAGAAATGGACGTAACAAAGTGAAAAAAATGCGGAATTGTAGAAGGAGATCGATATTTCATAACGATATTCTTGAAAAAAATTTACTTCGCGCGATTAACATAAAATAGCAGCCGAGTCCTGCGAACGAAGGATGCACATTCCTGCATATCCTTGACACGATCCGCTCGGTTCTCGCATCAGACGTGCGTCTCACCGTTTACGGAATTCTCAGGTTTCAAGGCGTCGACGTCGTCACCGCCGTGCAAATATAAAAAACGGACGTGCACATGCCTCGACGCGAAACCAGCGGTGCGTGAAAAGAAAGACAGAGAGGAAGAACAGAAAGAAAGAAAAAGAAAAATCAGTTAATTATTATCCATTAATATCAGCTAATTACTACTGGGATAAATGTCCAGGATATGCAAAGGAAATACAAACTAGTGTCATAAAATATTGTCAGCCAAATTATGTGTAAATAATAGAAATATTATGTGTGTGATCAATAAAAATTAAATTTAAACATTATATGAATGATATGTGCAACATGTAAGGGAAGTTTATTATTTCAAACTCTGCGTGCATCGAAATAAGAAAATAAATATTATCTAGATATTTAATAAAAATTAATGACGAAATTATGACACACTAAATGTTATGAATATTACAAAAAAAACAAAGGAGAAAAGAAATAATAGAAAAATTTGTTTTAAAAAATTTTGCGGGATTGGTATCGCTATCTATCATGAAAAGATCTAACGAGCAAGATGATTTAAATATGTGCGAATATAGCAAATGGAGAAAGTGCGGATATAACTCGTAAAAATGATCCCTTGAACGGAAACGAATGTGATGGCGAAGGTCTGACTAGTAACGGTGCGATCGATTAATATTCGCGGCGGGTCGATCCGTCGACAGGAAACCGGAGGGCTGCAACCGCATTTCCGCGGTTGATTACAGAGACGAGAAACTGAATCGAAAAACAATTTCTCTTGGAACCTAGATAATTATTTTAAGTAATGAGACGGGACTATAAAAGAAGAATAATGCTTTTACGTTACAGGATAAATTTAATAAAGATGAAGTTGTTGATATTATTTGTTTTGTCAAAAATAAATATAATTAATATATTTTTGTAGAAAGTGTTTTCATGACAAAAAAAATAAAAGATATATTAGATATATCACTCGTTATTACTTCATGTATATATAATCAGCTTAATAAGAGTTTTACAATAGCCAATTAAAAACTGTTCAAATCGCAACCAGAGTCATGACGTCAAAGAATTTTTTACGTCTCGCAGAAAACAGCTGATTTATGATTCAATTATTTGAAGAATTCGAATAACTTCTTGACGCACGAAAAATCTGTTGGTTCTGGACCATCATTGTTACGTCTTCCAAGAAATTTGATAAATAAAAGTTTCTTTTCTTGAAGAATTTCGTTTATAGCGAAGTCAACTAAAGATCTTATCGGAAAGATTTATCTTATAACAAAAACATGATATAATGCGCTTGCAATAACGAGACATAAGTTAAGGAAAAAACTAATATTTCATAGAATTATTGCATAGCATTTTATTTTATAAATTTCATATCTTTAATTTCAGTTTTAATCGAATTATTATCACGTTTATAATTTTAGTTTAATCAATAGGTTTGATAATAATTTTGCGTACCACAGTTGGTTGTCAATGTCTAACTGTCTAAAAAACAGCAATATATTATCAATTATCAATAAATCCATTTTTATTTAAAAATATTAATATATTATTAGTAAATTATCATAATATATTTGTAATCGATCTTATTTAATCTTAAATAATATCCTATAAATAAAAATACGATAATTATACTTAATTTGATGTTACTTCGTATCTTTCGCAACAATTAATAATTTCTATAATTATCAGCAGTTAAACTTTCGCGTTAAACAATTTCAGAAGATAATTTTATCATGTGGCATGAATATTTGGTAATTTTGAAAGGAATACATTCAGGAAAATTAACATCGTAAAAATCGAAAGTTAAAGTTTGAAAATTTTCTTCCAAAAATATACTATTATCTTCGATATAATTGAATTTGTATAATTTTATTTAAGCGCGTAACACTTTCGAAATAAATAATTCATTTTTATGGTTTACTTTTGTGCTTTTAAATAATATTAAGTCTACTATTTTTATCATACAAGTTTATCATATGTTTGTAATTATTAATGGTAATTAGTAGTTTTAATTTTATAATATGTGTACACATTTATTATATAATCATTCATACTTTTCATTAAAATTATACACATTTATACTATGACTAAATGTATGTACATCGCAATAAATGACAAAGCGAATCAATTAAAGACAAAGATGAAATCGAGTTGGTCTTAAAAAACAGATCGTAATCACCTTTTAATCGCGAGTTAACGATCATCTTTTATATTTTTAATTACAAAGCGAGATTCATTATAACGTTTTAATTCTCTTTTCTTTTTACTACTGGTTTTATACTAGGCAATTATACTTCCTAATTCATCTTTTTTTTTGAAGGTTTCGAGATTTTGTCTCCTTACTTAGCTCTTTCTTCCTTTTTCCGAAAAATCCCGAATCTGTCCTGTCCTTGCCCAATTGGCTAAAACCTTCGAATATGAAATAAAAAAAAGTCGTACTAATTGTGACTAACCTGTTGTTCGATACGTTATGAACATATTGTACGCCTATTTTTTCTGCTGAGATACACGTATTTTGTCAAAGAAAGTGTAAGAAAGCTGACGGAATAATTCAGTGGGTCGTACACTTCCTCAGCCTAAAAATTCTTGGTTGACTCCCCGCAGTTAACCATGTTCTACAAGCAAACGGGAAAGTTAGATGCGAAGAAGAGTGAAATTAATAACGAATTTACGAAGTATATCCCTGATAAAGAATATAAAAAATATTTTTGACCATGAAAAATATTTTTGTTTAGCAAGCATAACCATATGAAATATTCTAAAAATACAAGAAAATCAAGTGTGGAATAGAAATGAAATCAGATCTGTAAAAAGTTACTTCATCTCTACTCTCTCTGTCGTATGATAAGTAAATCGTCTCTCATCATTCGAGATTATCGTAATAATTCTTTTACGATATTTTCATAATATAATGCGCTAATATTTCCGATTTGCCTGCAAATTTTCATCAAACTGCATTCTTTTCAAGAAGATGTCTCACAAGGAATTATAGTTATTACGAAATTGGTGCAGCTCCCGATTGCGACAGAGGAATCCGATCGAGTCTAATCGATCGATCGGCACGTAGAGCTATAAAATTGCCGATCAGTATGTCAATGTAAAATGGAAACGACCTTCCAGTGTCAGCGACCAACTCTGCCCGTCTTGAGGACGGCGTCGGCTTTAACGCTAGCTGGCAAACGTTACGCGACAATACCAAGGACCAACTTCGGGCATATAATTGTGCACGTACTACATACCCGTCATGTAGAAAGCGTGCGATGATGGATCGCAGGGGCGCTCTTCCTTCGACGATCATCGATGAACGAATCTAATGCGATTATTAGAAGTTGGTTCATTTCAAGAATTTAAATTTTTGACGACAATTTAGAAATCGAAAGAATAAATGTCTCTTTATTCCTTAAAGATTATTTTTTCTTAGATTTTTTAAATTATAAAAATCTAATTAAAAGAAATACAACTTAAATAAAGATTATTAATTGTTGCATTATTAAAAAATTATGAAATTAAAGGTTTATTTGCTTTACTTTAGATTTACATGATGGCAAGGTTTATATATTACTAAAAATTGTCAAAATTATCTTATCATTAATTTACAAGGTTGAACCTATTTATTACATTGATTTTAAGTTTCCGATCTATTATACTCATTTCAATGTTACACATTAATTCCTTCACCTGCCAAACCGTTTAACTTACATGATATTAATGTAAATATATATCTGTAAACAGTTGTAACTTGTGCGATACATGCCTGTTTTAGCGATTTCTTGCACAATATAAAATTTTATCAGTCCCGCATATGGAAATAAAGCTATTTTCGGAGACACAAACGATTCCTGCCGCGAACCAATCTATCGATCCGACCCTGATTCTATCTGCATGTGGTGACAGACGCGCGACGCACAAGGCGATTGTCTACGTGACTTTCGTAGCTTCCTGCCCGACGTGTCCCACATATCCGTTCTTCTTCGTGCTAGGTGTCTTCGTGTCTTCGCGACGTCGGTTTTCCGACCGCGCTTTCAATTTTTCACGCAACGCTTGGTCCAGAATATTTTTCTATTGACGCATCTAGTGCGTTAATGATTTCATTTTACATAACTTGAAATCTCTATATGATGAATATTACGTCAGAGTTTTAAGGAAGAACATTTTTGGAATGTTGAGATAAGCCTCTTTTTAATTCGCACTCTTTCTCTCATATAACTATATTGTTTTTATAAATAGAAACTAGCTATCCATTTTTTATTATTCATTTATTTATATCATTCATTTTTATTTTATTATTTATTTATTCGTTTTATTCATATTATTCATATTATTCATTTTCAAAAATATTAGAAGCGAGAAGTAATCGAACTTAATTCGTAATTTTTTGTTTGATACTCAGGTCTTCCCGCCAACGAGCTTGCTGATACGAGCACCATTGGAGATATCGGAAATGTCTCAGAAGCAACCACTGTTGCCGAAGTGAAAGGTCATTCTATGGATGATATAATGCCGGGAACCAAGCCACCACCGATTACTGTGGTGTTCGTCGATATTCCGGAACATACGGAAACGGAACTGGGCTCATCCGTGTTGTTGGCATGCCGAACCGCTAATCCTGTAGCCGAGTGCCAATGGTCCTGGCAGCCATTACCGCCCATACACCTGCCACTTCCGGATATCAGTGAAAGCCCATCAGTTTCTACGAGTAAGCGTGAATTTGTTCCTTCCGCAATTAGTTTCCTGAAGAATATTCATATCTGACTTACGGATATACACGAAAAATCACAAAGATAATAAACTCGTATAAATGATCTAACTTCAAGATGATTGATTACATTTTATAGCAAATTGCAAAAAATGTATCTTCTTAATTTAAAGAAGTTTCTTAAGAAAAGTCAGAATTAAAAATTTTGTTAATCAAACTAAATCAATCTAAAATTCTTTCTAAAAATGTTTTAGCTCCTCTAGTTTATGCAATAACCATTCTTGTAGACGATATTATTATTTTATCTCTTTATATTACACATATATATAGGATATAATTTTATATTCGAGCTAAATATTTATTAGAGAGTCGTTCTCTCGAATCTTTCAATGATTTCAGCTACGGGGATTTCGTGGATGAGCTCAACGATCACGTCAACTCCTACGACCCATCCGTTGCCGGTACGACAATTTCCGGCATTCGGGAACAACAGCAACGATTGCTCCGTGAGATTCTCCAGCACGAAACACGAGCAGACAGGATACTGGACTTGTGCGGCGAGAGTCTCCACCAACGATCCTTTCACCAGCACTGAACCTGCCAAACTCAGCATCGTCAACGCCAATCACGGTAGAATGCTCAAATTTCTTAATTCGATTTCACAAATTTCACTCTTTAATATATTTTCGGATTATCATATCTTGTCATACCTTTAGTTCACAATAGAGAAAAAACTTTTAATATTTTTAATAAATATTTATTAAAAAAACAACACATGTATGTAATCGGTTTCTTTCATTCTTCTTAATATTGTATAAAATTTTCTTATGTATTTTTATTTGATATACATTGATCGTGATTAATTAAGTTTGAAATTAAATGTTTCCAGACAATACTATTTGCGAATTTTATAAAAATATTATCTTGCTATCATTTATTATTTTTTAATAATCTTGTATATTTTCTGGCATTCTAGGAGGAAAAGCTATTTAAGTCGTAGTCCCGTTCTTCAATTAGAATTTTAATCGCGTAAGCATAGTGAATAAGCGCGATGTATTTGCGCAGTTGCTTTCGACCTCGAATTCTTGGTGACAGAATATGACATCGTTATTTGTCTTCATCAATTATGCCAACTGTCACAATATATTTTTCGCATCAAGTACTTTTCGATAAGAAATATCGTCACTACATTTATCATACAGACTATATTTAAATATTTATTTAAGAATTTTAACGCCAAATTGTCAGTATTTAATATTTTTCGAATATCTCGCAATTATGTTTAAATAAATTTACACTTAATTTTGGTAACGATTCCGGGTGAATCATTCAAAATGAAAGACTGGTCGGAGAAACGCCTTCATATGAATTTTGTTAATCATCTCGGATGAGTCATGTAACATGAAACATAAATTTTCTTCTAGATTTTTTTAGAAAAAAAATCAATTTTAATTAAATTAGAAAAAATCTGAAGACGAAAATTACAAGTTCGTTTGAAAGAATTAAGAGAAATAATGATCTATAACGTATTCATATATATATATATATATATATATATATATATATATCCTTATATATATATATATATATATATATATATATATATATATATATCCTTAATTCTTTTCGCGAAATCTTCTCGATCGACTTTCGAATCCCACGCGAGAACGTCGCATTGCGTAAGGGATATCGAGAAGTGCAACTGGTGCATTCGTACGTTTCAGGTATCCTCATCACGTTCGCGAAGCAAAACGAGAATGTCATCGAGGTGCCCGCGGGATCCTCGGCGCAGATAATGTGCCAGACCAAGTCGCCGGTACGCGAATGCCAGTGGTCCTGGCGGCAACTGAATCAATCGCAGCCCTGGAACCTCGACGTGAAATCATTCCCGGCCTTTGGTAATGACAGCACGGAATGCAGCATCAAGTTCAAAAACGTTCTGCCGGAGCAGGAGGGTTACTGGACCTGTGGTGCGCGAATCGATCCGAATTCCTCGTTCACCCAGGCGACTCCTGTTCGTTTCCTCATATCGGAAGGTATTTTGATTAATTATGCTGTTTTCGTATTGACATAAATTTACTTACATTTTACAAAAAATTATATAGCAATTAATTATAAGAATATAGCAAATATAATAATTCAAGAAAGTATAACAATAATATATTATTATTTTATAATAATAATATATTATCCACTTTACGTAACTTTTGGAGGTAGAGTTTTAAGCTTTATTCTGATAACATAAGTAAAAGACATTTTATTTTATTTTTATATTTATTTTAATAAAAGACAAATGATGGAAAATTCAATCAAAAATCAACCATGAAAACTCGATATATCCAAATTTTCCATATCTTTATAATATCTTAAATAAAATTTGTAATAAAACTGTGACGAAGACTGTTTTTCAATAATAATAATCGGCAATAATTTTAATTGCATCATATTTATTTAATCAGTTTTGTAACGATTCTGTAATAATTAAGTTTCGTCATCGAAAAATATTTCAACGTCATCTACTTCGCGTCACACACACACACACCGATTGATCCTGTTCTACGCGACCCGTTTCTTGATTGAAAAGAAGAAAAAGCCGTCAAGAGAGCTTTCGTTTCCCTTTTATAGTCGAGTTCGTGCAGTTGTCGCGCGGCGTACAGGTTGCGGCCGGCGAGTCGGTCTTTCTACGATGCCTGGCGAACAAGCCGGTGGTACAGTGCGAGTGGTCGTGGAGGGCGTCGAACTCGAGCAAGGAACCGCTGCTGGTCAAGAAGTTCAATCCAAACAAGGACGCCGATCACGACTGTTCCGTGCGATTCAAGAATATACTGTACGAGGAGGAAGGACTGTGGACTTGTGGGGTCCGTTTAACGCCAGACGGGATCCTGCATACGGCGCCCGCGGCCACTGTCAGCCTCCTGCCCACTGGTACGGTGACGATCATTTTAATTAAGAAATAAATACACCCGAAACCCTGCAATCACGCGTCGTTATCAAACGTCCGATCCAATCGCGAATGATGGCTACGGGCGATACTCGTTGTAATTACGTTAATGTTCTCGCAATTACGGATTGATTGACATCTTAACGTGAGATGATGTAAAAATTGATTTCTTGCATAGGGAAAATAATCAATGACGTGTAACTCTATCAGATGCCGATGTAAAAAATTCGAAGTAGTAGTGCATAGTAATATCTGTGATTTAAACTTTTGTCTTTCTCTATCTAATTGCACATTAAAATGCAGAAACTATGTATGAAATTCAAATGCAGTCGCAATCGAAAAAAAGCAGGGGAGTACAGTTCAATTATGGATGTCGGAATTCGAAATAATCTCGTAATTCGATTTTATATACTTTCCCTTCATATACATTTCACCTTTCTCTCGCATTTCGCGCTTAATTTATGTAGCACTTTATACCCAGCGAGAAACGTAATGTAATTGTTAATTATATTGAATCCGATTTAATCTTCTGATATCCTGGAAAAGCGCGTTGATGCTAATCAGAAATGAAAAGAGCTATCAAGCGTTAAATTAAAAATAATCTCAATCACACTTGGTTTTAATTATCAAAAATATCTTCCTTTTTCAACAGCGCTCTTTCATCATTTTACAAATTTTTCGAAAGTCGAGGAAGTTACGTTCTTTACGCACTCGCAATAGAAAAAAATCTATCACGTTATCAACTTGAATACAAACGTCCTTACTCCTTCTCTTGTACAATTTTCTTATCATGATGATCAATTCCAGCTAAGGTGAGCTTCGTCGATTTGCCGACGGACACGGCGGTGCCGATAGGTACAGAAGCCGTACTGAAGTGCATCACCAGCAGCCGAGTCGAGAAATGCTCGTGGACCTGGAGACCATTGAACAGCATTGATTCCGAAAACGTTGTTATCAACGAATTTCCCAGCAACGGCGATCTCGGTCGCGACTGTTCGCTTCATCTTCCGCAGGTGCAGGCGGAGAAACAAGGAAATTGGGGCTGCCAGGTGTCCATCTCATCGCTCAACACCGTCCTAACGTCGCCATCCGCCAAACTCACGGTCTTCGAGCAAGGTAAAATGAGTAAAATACTCAGAGACAAGAATTCTCTCCTCAATTTGACATCTTAATTGACACTAATAATGTCTTAATTAATTCTAAATCTCTCTGATAACTCTTCCCAGACGAAGTGAAGTTCTCAGAGCTGTCGCAGGACATTCAGATCTCCTCCGGTAGCAGTGTCCTGCTACGTTGTGTGACATCCTCGGCGGTGGATCAGTGCCGTTGGTCGCTCACCCCCGTCAACTCCAACACCACCGTAGTGGTGAAGCAATTTCCGGCGGCTGGCAACGAGGCGCGAGACTGCAGCGTTCGTCTGAGTCACGCGCTCGCCGAACAGGAGGGACTCTGGACCTGCGGTGCCAGAATACACGGCCGGCAAAATTACACGGACGCGCCGCCCGCGAAGCTGAGCCTCCTCGAACCAGGTATCATCGAGTCCTAAAGGCGGCCGCTTCTCCACCGCCACAGGTGAAGGGTGGATGCACCATTAATCGATCGTCGCGCTCGGCTTGGGCTCGGTAAATCGCGTACTCGTTAATTATTGAGTACCGTAAATTAAAAAGGATCTGTCGAAAATCTGGAAAGCAGAAAATTTATTCAATACTCGCGTCTACTTTTTTATTCAATTTTATCTAGTAATGCCTTAAAAATATCACTTGTTGACGTTTTTCTTTTGAAGCCTACGTTGCTCAATTTTTTTTATATTTCTGTAATATTTAAATCCTTTTTAATTTACAGCATTCAATTATTGTAATAAAACGTTTTCGTGCGTCGCGTTAATGTGCGAAGATTATAATACTCTTGAAGCATCATCAATCATCGAAAAAATTAGATTTTAATTTAATTAGAATTTTTTATCTCAGCAGCACGTTTAAAGATGACTAAAACAGATAATTAATGACGTACGTGAGTAAAATTCATTAATTATTTTATTAGAGAAGGCTATTATTGAACGTACAGAGCGTAAAGTATATGCATGGACTATAATAAATTTTCGTTTCGCGTGAGAAGGATCTCGCGTGCAATAGGAATACTTAAGGACCTTGTGTATACGAGTCGTTACGTGTACAAGGATCTCTCGTGTGCGATGATTCACGTGGGAGGACTTTGTTCGCATCAGTTAGGCATCTGTTTCATGAGATTCATATTGACAAGCAACAAATAATGAGAACAATCACGATATATAGCAGTTCAACAATATATTGATATATAGATTTAAATCACATATCAGAGACTTTTTTTGAATATTTTTAATATTTAAATTGCCACATTTATTATCATCTTTAATCAAATCTATAACTTTTCATAATCAAGTTCATAATCATCATTTTCTGTGTCGAGTTTCATGAAATACGCCGAAAAACTTTCGCCCAAAGCCTGGCTAGAGTCGCTTCAGCATTCGATCGATTAAAACAATATACGATAAATATTACTGTATAATAAATCGTAGGACACACATATATTATATATATTTTAGGATCCGTGGCCTGTGCATTGTTGCGACGACTGTCGCAACCATCCGCGATCGCGAGTGCACCAAGACGAGCTGCACGTGAGCTTTGCACGCGTCGCTGCGTGTGCGTGTACATAAGTGTAGGCCATGGATCCTGACGCACGTCTTTGCAATCTGCGGTAGACGAAGCTTCACGGCACACGAGCATCGATTGAACGGTTTTTACATGCCGTAGTGGATTAATAATCGGAAATTCTTGATGCCAAATCATTATTGAGCGAAATTAGTAAGTTATTAACGAATGCGATCAATATATATTTAGCCGGCCCCAAGAAATCGATCTCGCTATTTATTCGCAGAAATACGTATCATAATTTTTATATTCGATATGACTAATAGATGGCATAAAATTTTGCAAGAACGAAATTCCATAAAAGAAAAAGATTTTAATTTTACTGACTAAGATTGCTTTTGCAAATTTTTCATTTATTCCTCTTATTAAGCAGCGCATTTAATGTCTGTCGCCAATAAGAAGGATCGATATCAATGTATGCGGAATTGATTCACATTGATAAGCTCAGCTCTCATTATAACACAAGGCTATCCAGCTGTCCAATCGAAAGACAAACTGTGCATAACTCATCATCCCACATCTGTATGTGTATTCCGAGTGATGAGGATTCGCGCTCGATATCGGCGGAGAGCAATCGGCCAGGATTTGCAATGAAAGTGAAAGTATGCGCCGCTCGAACGCGGATCCTCGCGAACGCCCCGAAGACTTTCGTGGATGGGAGGTAATGGATTTGCATGCCGATGAAGCTTCATGCCACTAGATTAGCGGTGGAAGTGAGTGCCTGTGAGTGAAGCTGTTGGGCTGCCCATGAGCAGCCCATGTGTGTTAGGGAGATAATCGCGACCGCGAGAGAGAAAGAGAAATTTTATGATATCCATACAAGAATGATCTTACACTACGATCGTCATATTTCACTGATTAAATTGTGTCATTTAATTTAATGCGCGACGCTACTTGTGAGAATAGCCAAATTTTTTAAGACGCTTAGAATAACAACTCTCGTGTTCTGTCCAATTGTCAGTATCAAGCAGTATTATATATCTCATTTAATAAGATATAACACGAAGATAAACTGCTTATACCAAGCACAAAAATTTTGAACGGTCAGTTTCAATGTACATAAAATATTTGAATTTAATAATATTTTGTTACATAAAAAATTTTGTGTAAATTATTACATTTCAATTATCTAATTATGTATTTCTTGAGTAGATCTCCATTGAACAGAACACGAAAGAGTACATGCATTTTTCTGTTACTTTTTTTTTTAAAGAGAGTGCAAGTACATTTATATGTCACACACGTAAGGATTGCAATATTCGAACATACATTTATGTCATCAGTCCCATGCTTTACCACAATACGTAATATCTATTTTTAACTTAATTACATTGTCGTGCATTTGCATTTACTAGCATTAAATCGTCCTAGCTTATCATTCAGTCTTGGCGCATCCGTTTCTCACTCGCAGTTCTCCGATAAACGAGATTTATCGGTTTGTCGTGCGCCGCGTGGTAAACCACGAATTAACAATCTTGTCAGCTTTTCTTGTATCTCCACTAATTAAGGAGGCTTCACACGAGTCGCAATTTATTGTGATTTTCTCCTTAGTAATCCGTCCATCCACATCATTATTATGCAATGCATATCGCCGCATTAACTTTCTCATTCCTCATTATGTATATTACTACGTGCTAAGTACATTTTATCTGAAAAATTATGCAAATATTGATCCACAGTTTCGAAGAAGATTAGAGTTTCTTTTCGTATCACAGCATAATTTCTTCGATCTATAATTAAGTAATAGCGATATTAAAAAAATGAATGATTTATTGTAATGAAAATTCCAAACAAAGTATATTATTGCATTGTTTCATATTAATATAATGAAGAAACATTTAATATTAATATAATGAAGAAACGAAAATAAGAAATATAAGAATAATCTTTTAGCTATTAAAAATATAAGTTTAAAGTTAAAAGATTATCAAATTTTTTATTTTACATACTTGTTCTCGATCGCCAACATTGAATTCCATTTTTCATTTATCATTCTTATTTATATTCTCAGCGAAACTGCGCATAAATAATTTCATATTTAGATAATAGAATAATAATTGTTTATTGTGTGTGTTTACTTTATTCTATTTTCCAATTATTGTAGATAGTTTAGTAAAGTGACAAGTGCTATGAATCTTTCATAATGTATGTATTTTAGGTAAAAGCGAGAGAAACATGCCACATATTACCAAGGAATTGTCCAAATGAATGTTAAATGATGATGTTATCTAACAAAGTTGCTCACAGGCACAATTAATATTGCAAACTGCGTCTCTCGTTACATATCATATTATTTATTATAAAAAAATCATCTGTCTTAAGTTAACATCGCGTTTATGTTCATGTGTTTATTGCTTAATTCATAGCCAATTCTGACATATGTCTGTTATATATACTCAATCATTATTATTATGACTACTTTAATGCTAAGTAGACAATTTTTAATATTAAGATTTTCAGCGTCCAGAAAATTCATGTCTACAACGAGTAACGCTCGTTCTCATTGGTCAATAATGCAAAAACGTTATCGTTCATCATTCGTATATTTTAAGAATAATTTTATTTTGAATTTTTAACTATTTAAATTTCTTTTTTAATATCTAAATATTATAAAGAATTTTGAATAAATTTAATTTAGAGAGTCTAAATTTTAAAGAATTTAATTAGAATTAATTTTGATGTAATAGTAAAAAGATTAAAATATATCAGTACTATCTTTTCTGAAGAAAAAGATGACGTACATAGACCAAACTAGAACGACGATTTACTTGCAAAGTATATGAATCTTCATGTGCCATTAAGTATCGTTAAGTTCCGTTAAATATTCGCGCATTCTCAAGCGAGTTTTTGAGTCTTTGAGTTGCTGTAAACTTTTTTGTTTTGTCTAAAAAAATAAATAAAGAAATAAATGGTAGTGCGAAAACGCCACGATGGTCTTCTCACTTCCATCATCTCGATTACTAACTGCATTAGTACTGAAAAGTTCTCCTTATCTAAATCTTTGTAATTTGTAATAATTAATCAACGTAAATTATAATAATTAATCAACGAATCCCTGGAAAAATATTACAAATGCTAATTTTTAAGGAAACTATAAAGTTTTATAAAAAACTTTATATAATTATTACACTTTATAAAACAATCATTAATGTGACATTTTAATTTATTAGATGACATTTTAATGCGTAAATTATTATCTTCATAATAATTTTGATTTTAATTATAAAAATCATTAATTGAAATATTATCTTATATATTTCATAGTTTATGTTTCTTATTTCATAATATACGAACATTTATTTTTTTTTAACGTCTGAATACTTCTGATAAATTTAGCGCTTATAATATTTTCTGGGATTAATCAATCTCATTAATGCACACGAGATCAGCACACGCTCTATATAACGCCGTTTAAGCACATCAAACCATGAAAGTCATCGATGCACAAACGGTGATTGGTGGTCAAAATAATCGTCGAATAAAATCTACCGAAGATAGCGGTTTTTGGTGAGTGGGATAAAAAGTTAAAAAAAAAAACATTTTTTTTCCGATGGCCTCAAGAAAGATCCATAGTAAAATCCAGTTTGTAGTTTGAATATATACAAATAATGTAAAGAAATTGCAGTCACATAAATGTCTTATATTTACATGACTTCTTTCGTTAAATCATTATTAGCAGTCAAAATTCATAGAAATAATATTTTATCAATAAATTCTTGAGGCTATAAGGATTAAAAATAAATTTAATTCATGAGATATCGATCACTTTTAGAACCCGTCACTATCGCGGTTTGGTCTACGCCTCATCAGATGGTTACTCTTGCATGTAGGATCGGAGCTGTGTCATCGGAAGCCAACTGCCACTGGATCCACGTTCCAAATGTTCACATACATCAAAACTATAGCAAGCTTGCGAAGAAGCCGAGGTAATAAATCTCCCATTATATATATAATTATTTTGTCACGTATTCATTTAATACATCTCTTCGTACTTTTATATGCAGGCATAACATGCAAATGGATTACACCACGGGTATATGCAAGCTAGTCTTCAAACCGGATCATTCCGATCTAGGAAAGTGGACTTGCACATTTACTCTAACGAATGAAAACACTGACATCGAGATAGGAAGCGCGACACTCGTTCTGCTCAACACCGTAGCAGGTTTATTAACATCTTAATTATATAAAAAACATATTAGATTCTTTTATACCCATTCTCTTCTTCTATTTTTATATTTCTTTTATAGTACGAAAAATAAAATTATTCATTGTATCATTACAGATGAAAAACTAGGATGGATCGTGGGTGCCTTAACGGCTATGATTTTATTCCTGATGATAATAGTCGTAGTATTAGTGGTGTGTAAGGCGCGAATTTTCGTCCGTAAGACGTCCGAAGTTCTGGAAACCTTACCCTCCAACGTAAACAAACAAAGTGTGAAATTCCGTGGTGAAAATTATACCGAAGATCAGGGGAAGATAAATCTTCACTTCACCGAGGACAGCCGTACATCGAGTCTCAAAAGCATTTTACCCAATAGAAGTCCACGCTTGCAAGATCGCATGGAGAAAATTCATGCAATGCCGTCTAAAGTATTTGAGAATGTTGGAATGTAACACATGATTTTCTTCGTCGATATAAAAAATTGTTTCTAACGAATTAACATAAGATTATTTTTTTTATATCAGAAGTTAAAACTGTATTACTATAGGTGAAAAGATGTATTTTTTAGTAGATACAAGAAAATTGTGAAAAATTTTTCTTTCACATATATAAACACAGTGAGAGATTAGAAAAGTAAATTAATATATTGTTCCTATAAAAATTACGAACATCGTCGATATTTTATATATATAAATTTTTTGATTGTTTAATAAATTTGTATAGATATAATTTCACGAGTATAGCATATAAGAAAATGAATATATATAAATAAATACATATAAATACATCTGTATATAAATTATGTAAAAACTGCAAAATATATTTTTATATGATAAATCATTATTCACTTATAATAAACATACATATAATTTTAAATATATTTACATTTTTGCTTCTAAAGCATCTAACTGAGTTTGAATTTTTTCTAAATTATAATAGAGATCTGTCAACTGTTTCTTATCAAATTCTACTGTTAGTGTAGATGTCTCATCACCAGTCAGACCAAGTTGAAGTAATGCTATGGGTCGTGCATCTTTGGAAATTGCAGAGGACGATGATTGAACATTTAGACACCAATTGATATCTTTTACCTTGTCAAATATAAAAATATAATTAAATTTTCTTCTTACTTTATTATGATAAATATAGAATAATTGCTATTAATTAAAATTTCCTTTTGTCAATGTTAAATTACCTGGATAGGAAACATAGATTTTTGCCTAAAATTTTCCACAATGCCTTTGCCATAAGTTATCCATGCATTTATAAAAATGGATATTTTCTCTTCATCTATCTTAAAATTGTCCTTCATGACTGTTTCCATGAGAGATGGTTTAACAACATTACATGCAGCTTGCATATAAATCGATGTAATAGTATCTAATAGAAGAATTAATTCATCTTTCATTAGGTCTAAAGAAACTAGCAGTTTTTCTTCCTCCTCTTCATTAAATACTTTTGTATTTATGCTAGATTGCAGGCTTTGGCATATACGGTTGACAAGAAGACGGAACTTGCTATTATCCAGCCGAGCCACTATTATTAAACCTTGCTCTAATCTATAATAAATGACATAAGTGAAAATTGCATTTATGTATTTTTGTTAAATTTAATAAACTATGACCATTCTAAGATGATAATAATAAGATATAATCATGCACATAATTATTTTTAGAATTTACAATATATTTTGCTACATACTATATACATACTTTGAAGTTACATTGATCCAAGCAGCCATTATATATTATATATAATTGGAAAAATAAATCTTATATATTACTTCTCTTTTATAGTACTTTAATTTTCATCATAATTCTATCTCTGTCACAGAAACAAAATCTTGGAAATTATATTGCACCATTCATGTGATATCGTAAACACTCATGAATGACCACCTGATCTTTCATTCACTAAACATGCGCTCGCTTTTGCCATAGATCATGCATGAACTAGATGTTCTTACCTCAACGTGGGTAAAAATAACATATGTATCGAAAGTTACAAGAAATAATGATTTATTTTGCAAGAGGAAAGTCAGAATTGCAATATGATGATATAATAATATTAAGTTTTTATACATATTTAGTAAATATGCATAATGAAATCATCCTTGAGAGCTTTATGTGTTCCGAAACTCGATGAGAAGTGTCAATAATTTTTTGTCCACGATTATATATGTGTGTGTCTGTCTAATTAAAATTAAATAGATTTAGTATTTACATAAATAGACATTTTTTATACTGTGTAGAAATTGTTTGTAATTTCACATATGTGCAAATCTGCACATATACATTATGCAATAGTATTCAAAAATATATCTTTATATTCTATTATCAATGTTCAGTTATCTACGTGATAAGGATTTTATTTTGATAGTTACAACACAGATAGTTACTTCGCAGTTCTCATCTTGCATTCATTTCAGAAGTGAAAATGTCATCAGAAGCTTATGATCCAAATTATGACAAAGTACGAAGCTGCTTATATATGCATATTAAATATAATTAATTTTTATGAAATCTAAATTTTATAATTTATGAATTTATCGAATTATTCTAATAACACCAATTTCTTTTATGCAGGAACATCCAAGAAATCTTATTCCAGAATTGTGTAGACAATTCTATCATCTTGGATGGGTGACTGGTACAGGAGGCGGTATCTCCATCAAACATGAGTTAGTATTTGCAATATTTATTTAGAAAGAAATATAAAAAATGTTCATTGAAATGTTCATCTTGTTACAGAGATAAGATCTACATAGCTCCTTCTGGTGTACAAAAAGAGCGAATGTTGCCCAATGATATGTTTGTGCAAGATATCAATGGAACAGATTTGGAATTGCCACCATCAGAAAAAAAATTGAAGAAATCACAATGTACTCCACTATTTATGTGTGCTTATTTAAGGAGGAATGCAGGTGCTGTGATTCATACACATTCTAAATTTGCCGTAATGGCAACATTATTATGGCCTGGAAAAGAAGTTAGACTCACTCATCTCGAAATGATAAAAGGTATACACTCAAACTATTTTATAAAAATATTTTACACTTGAAAATGAGAAAGAAATTTGAAGATGATTTAAAATAATTTAATACAGGTATATGGAATCAGTCAGAGGGTAGAACATATCGTTATGATGAGGAATTGGTAATACCAATCATAGAAAATACTCCCTTTGAGAGAGATTTAAAAGATGATTTAGATGACACTATTATTCATTATCCCGAAACTTGTGCAGTATTGGTACGCAGGCATGGGATTTATGTATGGGGTGATTCTTGGCAGCAGGCAAAAACTATGTAAGTTACTTTATCCGTATATTATTAAATGTTTTCTATAAAATAAAATTAATTTGTAATAATTTTTTATCTTAATCTCATATTTTTTCTTTTTTAACAGGACCGAGTGTTATGATTACTTGCTTGATATTGCAATTCAAATGAAACAATCTGGATTAGATCCACTAGCAACTCCAAATGATTATGAATTAAAATATCAAGAATTGAATAATTTAGATTAGAATAACCAGGAATTTTGATGCAAACTTGATATCACAACTTTGATATAAATCTATGTATCTTTATGGACATATTTAGCATATTAAATATGCATGTGAAAAATTTTTATAAAAAAGATAAAAAATGAATTATACAGAACTGATTATAATTATATTTCATGTATCAGTATATACAATTTTTTGCTGATATAAATTATAAATTTTACATTATTCTAAAAAGTAGTATAAATTTTCAAGTATCTATGTCAAATGTCGCAAATTGTTTCCTAATTTTTTTTGCTAATTCAGTTTCTTCCTCTTGGCTCATATGACAATCTTTCCAATCAGATCTGTCATTAATATCTAATATTCTATCAGACGCTAATACTTCTCGGCCGAATTGTAAAGGGAAATCTTTTTTAATCCTATAAAATAACATTTCTCCGTTTGGTAGTTCTACATAAAAATATAAAACTCCAGGTTTTGCGATCTGTTGTAAATCAGTATACTGGGGCAATTCTGTTATTTTAAAATTATTACATTCAGCCAATTCCTAAAAAACAAAAATTAGTATACATTAAATATTAAGGATGATAATAAAGGACATTAAATTTTAGTACTGTAATAAGAGAAATACCTCAAACATTTCCTTTAATGCAGGTGCTTGATTCTTATGAACTGGTACTGCTTGCAATTGACAATGAGATGTTTTAAAATTTCTCTCGAAAAATACTGGTACTCTGTTGGTACTTTCATAATATTTAGTCACAGCTTTCTTGTAAAGATCCATCTCGTCTTTCACATTCTTTGGCAGAATTGACAGACTCTGATGATGTGTTATTGGTAGAATTAAGAAATGATCTTCTACCAAACCACCTTTTGCTAATGCTAAATAGATCTCTGTACCAACAGAAATTACCAGATGCTTGGACACAACTGGACTAGATAAACAGAACCAACATTTTGATTGATCAAACTCCAATTTTAGTTTTTTATTGTGATTATTATTTTGATGCCGCAATCTCTTCCCATTGTCTTTTGAATCCATGTCATAGAAGAATTGTGTGTGAATTTGCTTTTGTGACGTTGGATCATCAGATAGCATGGATTTTGGATATGGACTTAATGTTTCGTCTGTAGTTTTCATAATTAAATCTGACAATCTACTTCTATCAACAGGAGTTAAATTCAAAGCATACAACCATTTTCTTTTTTGAGGATTCATTATTGATGCCAGAGCTATGAACCTAGTGGCTATTTCCATATTTTCATCACTCTGACTTTGATTCCTGTAATGGAAAAATTCAGATTTGAAATATACATATTTTATCTTAAATGCAGATCTTACAAGTTCTTATACAAGAACTGTAAGATCCATATTAAAAATAGTTGAAAAGTTTTGAGGAAAAATAAATTTACCTGTATGGTGGTCGTTCATAATAAATCCCTTCCAAAGCCGCTACATGATATCTAGGTTTAATATGAGTTGCAAGCCAAGCAATTAATTTGGAACCTTGATATTTGCATTCCGGCTTGTTACCATCAAGATTAGTTATGCCTTCAGGCCAAGGAGATGTCAATAAGATATCCACACCGCGAAAACTTGGTTGGCCTTTTAAACAACTGTTCGTAATGGATGTAACGTCATGTTCATTAAAGTATATATCTTTGCTCTCGGTTGATGTTTTTTCAATTCCACTGAGATATGCTATTTTGAGACCCGAACTAGCAGCATAAAGACCACGTTTTCCGAGATAGGTGAGATTTTGACATATCTCATATCCATCACCATCGGTATAGTGTTTCAGATCAGACTCTCTGTTAGGTCCAATAATATATGTTGGTACAGGGATGGTCTTTTCGCAGGACTTATAAGATTCTAACTCGGAATTATCTTCACCGAAGAAATTACCAACGCATAACAAGAAGTCGAATGGACCACTTTTCTTGTTGATAGCCTCCACTTTAGAGAAGAGGAATTTGAAGTGTCCCTCCACGTCTCCGCAAATGAGAACTTTCTGTTTATCGCTCATGTCTAATGATATAACTATGCAATGACAATTTATGTGGATATATCAATAATATTGATTAACAATAAATTTCATTGCTTTTTTCAAACACTTTCGGATTATTCAATCAAGAAAAAAAGAACTCTCTTGATTATCTCTATAAATATTTTCTTTTCTGTAGGTTAAGCCAGATTAGGTCAGATTAGGTTAAGCTAACCTAGGAGTTCGTTTTCATACTGAGTCTCTAAAGGCACTTCCACAATGCTAGGCAACAGGCAATAGAAATAGGGAATAGAAACTATTCACCAATAAATACGCGAATAGAAAATATTCGCCAATAAGAGCAGAGAATAGATACTATTTCTGTTCTTATTGCCTGTTGCCTAGCATTGTGCAAGGGGACTTAAGGCTACGATCGGGGAAATCCTAGGGATGCTTTGAAGCGTTTGATTGACCAATCAGGACAAAAGGAATAAAGATTTCTTTAACCTGATTCGTCTATCAAACGCTTCAAAGCATCCGTAACATTTCGACTGCAGCTATAAGGCAATTTCATTGACGCTAAAAAATAGCGTCAACCATTGATTGACCAAAGAAGTAAGTAGTTGCTTCATTGTTTAACCAATGGTGACGCTACTTTTTACGTCAATGAAATTGTACCTATAGAGAATGAAATATAGAGAAAGAATATCACTGGTGGAAAGAGAAAGGGAGATTGCAGGGAACAGATATGAATGTTGGATATAATTGGCTATTTGGATTAGGGGACTTATAAGAGAGAGAGAGAGAGAAAGATCTAAAAAATATTTCTTGTCTACAATTAATTATATTAAATTTTTAGATAATATTGTATGATAATATTTGTCATATAACTTATATTAAAGATATCAATTAGTGTGTGTTATCAGATAATATAGGATTATTTACAACAGTTTTCAAAAGCCTCTCTAAAGATCTTAAAATTAAACTTCTTTATCCAATAATCAATTGAAATCTTAGATAAAATTAATTATTAGATCTTTTAATTAACTATCACGGATTAATGACACAAATTTCTAAAAATAAATATTATTTGTGCTGTCTCGATAGCGATCATATAACTTGCTTCTAATAATAAGATTAGACATATATGATAAATAAAAAAGTTTTTCATTAATCTTTAGCAAAATTTAGAATTTTAAGAATGGCACAACAAAATTTAAAAATTTTGAAAATATATTTAAGGAATTTTTAAAAATTTATTTTAACCAATTCAATAATAATTTTAACAAAATTTCAACGAATTCTATGAAATATTTTTTTTACATACTTAATAAATATTTTATAATATTTTATAGATAAATATTTTTATACCTACATTAAATTATATAGATACATTATATAGATACATTATATAGATAAATATTTTTATACCTATTATACATTACTCGAAAAATGAAACAAATGGGTTTATCTTCTCTAAAAAAGAAATAGAATAATCGAAGTTGTTTTCAATCATATGACTAATATATAAAATAAAATAAAAAACAATTATATAGAGCAATTTTTATTCTACACGTGACAGCAAAGATCGATTTTAAAATAAATTGAATGAGAAAATTTGTTGTTGACAATTTTCAAAACAAATGAGTTTGTCTTTTGCGAAAAGCGAAATTTGTGTTTTAATATATAAAATAATAAAATAAGATTGACTCGAAGTTGAATATTAAGATTGTTAAATGTTCTAAGTTAAGATGATCAAAACTCCGTTATTGTTTTGTAAAAAAATTAATAAAATCAAATTGAGCACATATAAAACATTGACATCATAAAAGATTATCGATAATTTAAATATAACAATATGAAATAATATTGGCAATTTGAAAATTTTTGCATAGAAATTGAAGTAAAATAAGAAGGGCGAGAAAAAAAAGAGCGATATTATTTTTTAAGACAAGCAAACATCCAGAAAAATGAAAGTTTTAAAAAAAAGCTATTTTTAAAATTTTAAAATCAATGTACTCTCTGATAAATAATGACTGATAAATAATGATAAATAATGATTCAGTTAAGTACTGCAAATAACGTTCATTGCAAAGTATTAATTCTTGATAACGATTGATTTTTTAATGAAATTTGACTATTATAATCAATGAAATTAAAATGTGAAAATATGAATGTGTCATTAAAGAGTAATGAAATTGATAATATCTTCAGTAAAATCTTGTCACTACTTTAATCAATGACATCTTCAATCAGTTTAAGAGAGTAATTATTTCAATCTCGAAACAAATGGTGCTTAACTTTAACTTCATTTATTAAAATCTTATAATTCTGAAGATATTGATAAGGATTTTTCAAATTTAATAAGAATATAATTGGACAAAGGGAAGAGAATGAACAAAGAGAAAAATTATAAAAAGCTTTTGTCGAAAAAAATTAACATATAGAAAATGTAAGATAGGAAGAAAAATGCCCTTCTTTTGTTTGCTTTTGTTGACGTGAAGACAACAAAAACAACACGTGCAGCATTCAGTGTGCACACATGTTGGCCAGATGTAAGTTATAAAAGTTGTTAAATCTAACTGTAAAAGCGAAAAGGTGAAGGAGAAAGTGCATGTTAAGAAATAAATTGTCAATTAGTAAAAATAGTGGATATAAGGACAATAGCGTAAGAAAAATAATTTATGTAAAAAAAATATTTCTATATGAATTTTATAAAAATATAATGAATAATGTAAGTCAAATTCTTAAATTCGACAAAAGGATGGAATTATTTTTTAAAACTATATTTTTAAAATTCAGATACATACGTATATGAATTTTAATATGTTAAACTATCGAGCATGCTTTTTGAAATGTCGCAGTTCTCTTCGATTATATTTTTCAGATCGTTCTTTGCTTTGTTTGAGTATTCTTATTAAATTTCAAAAACTCTTATCAATATTTTTTCAGAATAATAAGTATACATACTAAATAAATATTTTCAGAATAATACATTAATCTTCTATTAAAATGTAAATGAACGTGAGCATAATCGAATTAATCGGTCATACGATGGTTTAATAAATTGTATTCATATGCGTAGTCGAGAAGACAATCGATTTTCGACATTTGTTACATTTTTCGCCGAAATTTAAATATTACTGGGGGTGGCAAAAATTTGCAATGACAGAATGTGCCGTTCTCGTGTTCATCGTCTCTCGGCACAGAAAATGTGCGGACAATCTCGCGTAAAGCATCCCCGTGTATTGCGTAAAGCAATACCCTCCCCTGTATCGTGTGCGCAGAAGCGCGTTAAAAAACGAGCGCAAAATGGAGAAGATGCTCTCTCGCGGCGGCAAAAGAGGTCCATTGCGAGAGAGACCAAGAGGAAGAGAGAAACCCGAAGAGTATATACATACACCCGCGGAAGCAGAGGGGATACCTACATAAATGTCACGTGGGCGTGACCGAGAAGTTGGAGAATTTGCACCAATGAGATGCGAGAGGCGTTATCTTGGTTACATAGTTACTCTCTACCCTGATACACAAGCGGAAGTTGCAATCGTGTGCGGCTGCGTTATCATCCCCCATGAGCATGTCATAGACGGATAGAGAAAGATGAGGATTCTGGGGGGTGTCGGAGAGAGCGAGAGAAATTGATTCCACGCTACGTAAAATATAGATAGAGCTCTAAGAAGCAAATAGCAAATTACAGAAGATTCATGCGGAAAATGCGATCAGGATTTATACAAGATACAAGCACGTAACTCTATCAATGAGAAGATATAGTTAGCACTACTAGATAGATTCGCACGATGTTCTCTTTATGAACGTATTATGTTAAAGCAGAACTGGTGGTACGCGAGGGAGAGGGAGAGGGATGGAGAGAAGGACAGGAGATGCGCAAAGGTATGAGAAAAGGACAGCGGAAGGCGGGGGCGACAGATCGGCTGCTTGACGGCTGTTGGTCCACGTTCGGCGGGGAGTTCAGCGTGCACAGTGCATCCAGTTGTACTAAATACGCACGGCACTGTTTAATGGTACACACGTGCTGTAAACGTCAGATGAATTGACCACGTAAGGTGCACGTATCCTTCGCTACTGGCCGAGATGAAACCGCACCACCAGACTTTAACAGCCTCACGAAGCTGAAACATCGGGTACGCATCCAGCAATCGTCTCCGGAGAACAAGTGTCATTATCGTCGAAGAAGAAAGTGCCGTGATGCGAACGTCAAACGATTATCACGTACGTTTAAGAAGTGATTAGTCGGTGAATCGCGATTATTCGAGATAATGATATTTCGGTACGATTGAACGAAGAGAGTGCGATTGTTCGATCGTAAAGTGTACGGCAAATATTGATTTTGTTGAAGAAAGAAGAGGCAGAACGTTGCAGAAATTCAATAACGTTCCAAAAAAACGAAATATTGTATTCAAATTGCAATTCAAGATGTCATCTCGTTATGACTGAGAGGATTGAATTGCTTTCAGTTATCGAACCGTCACGGATCATTATACGGTGAATATTAATACATTGACTAAGGATTAGAAGAAAAAGATTGTAAAAACTACGTGTTGATCTTTTAACTTTACTTCGAATCCGAATTAACTGATGTGCGTTTTTATATAACATATATTATTCCCATTAATAATTGTGAATCATGCGATAAAAATTGTCGCGAAATAAATCTCTTTTTAGGAAGAAATTTCAAAGAATTGATTATGTGTTTTCAAAAATAATAAACATTTTAATTAAATGGGAATAAAAATATATAATTCATATGCGCTTAAATGCCATTTAGAAAACGATTTGTGTTATTTGCTTAGCAAATTACAATCTCGTGTAAATGATTATTAAAGGAATGTTGTGCATAATTCATTAAAACGAAATGAATTGCATGAAAACTAGTTGAATATTTCCATTCCGACGGAGAATTCTAAGAGTGACAGTGTGATCAGTTTAGCTGATAAAAAATATAATATATCAGTGAAATAATATTTTCTGTTGCAATAAAAAATTGTAATACGAAAGAAATCATTTATCAATAGACATTGAAAAGAATAAATGTGCAAAAAATGCGATAAATTCGCGGATATAAAACGGATATTTCACACAGTATAATTCTAATAGCTTAATGAAAGCAGAACACAAAATTATTAAATAGTATAATGTCTAGAAACATAAAAAAAAAGAATGCAATTTTATTTCTGAAGTTATAAAATAAAACATAAATAATAATAATGATAATGAAATAATATTACTTATAACAGCCGTTTATATGTATAATGAATAAATAGCAGTGAAAAT